TTGGTTTTGGTTTTTTTTTCCATAGCAAGAGGTATAGTAATATTTTTTCTGCCTGGCTTTTTTTTTCCTTTCCTTTTCTTTTAATATCCACACATATTAGCATATTCCTCAGGGTCTATTTTATTTCTGATTGTCTTCATAAAGCCTCAGGAAGCCAGTGGCAGTAATCCTAGGTGACAGAGGCAGTTGCTGGCCATCATTTCTGTATTGAAAAAAAAAAATTATAATGCACCTRTGACTTTCTACTATATGAATAAAGCTGGATTACTTGGTTATTTCAAATATTTAAGCAACCTGCACAGTCCACGGGTTTGAGAGAGTAATATAAGGTATGCAACAGAAGACAGGATTTTAAGAATTTCAGTGAATCATGGTCAGACTATCAGGAATCTGTTTCTTTCACCTGCAGTGCATTGATGCTGACTCTGGTTCAGAGAGCAGTTCCACCAGGAAACCYTTCAGAGCACAGTGGTCTCTGAGTACAAAACCTGTAGGATCCTAGCTGGGGAGCCAAGCAAGAGGTAGTACCAAGGCACAGAAATGCCCAAATCTCTCTCAAGTCTTTGGGATAAGTTAGAAGGAACTTACCCGGTAAGTTAGGAGTCCTCAAACAATGCCTAACTCAGATTGCACTACAGTCTGTATGGTTTTGATGGCATTATGTTTCTATTCTTGGAACCTAGTGGTTAGAACTCTGTCCCTGAATACTGGAGATGATTCTTAACCCACAGCTTCTCATATGGTCTTCACCTATCCTGATAAAGTTAGACTGCTGACACAAAATATTGTGGATTTCAGAGAGACAGAAGGAAATAAATAATTTTAAATCTGTAAATAAGGACYCATTCCTCAGAATTGGGACTCCTGGGTCCTTGTTCTTTTTTTGGGTAATGGTAGGTAGATATACTTAATGAAAGATTTGTCCCTGTGCATGTTAAATTGATTTGTAGAATTCAGTTAATTCATTAAAAAAAAAAAGGGATTGATAGATTGGTTGTTGGCTTCTGACTTAATAGTATTGCTAATTAAGCTTCCTAAATGTAGAATATGGACTAAACTCAACTTTTAGCTTACCAGTGGGAATTTGAAAATTGAACCACTGGATACAGCTACAGCAACATAGTTTTAAGAGTTTGTGACTRCATTTATACTTTGGTGCCTGTGCCAGCGGGCAGGGGGGAGCTTTTATAGGGACAGAGCCCTGTAGAGGACTGCCCACACGTGATATTCTATGAAGTTACTAGTTCTTGTAAATTCTTGCAAATCAAAATTTACAGCAGTGCTCAGACTTCAGAAGCTATTTGGTTCTTTCCCCATCTTCTGAAACATTATTTGGGGAGGAAGAGCTTAGCTCCAGTGGCATCCTGTGATGCAAAAGCAACATTGTTCTCTGTATTATCCTAAATTAGCTCCAAGTTTAGCTATACAAAGATGTGATCATGAGCTGAGTTGTAATGGGGCATTGTATGCATTGCAGCATGTACTCTACACTGAATCTGAAGATGCTCATCTCTCTTCCACTGAGTGGGAAGTCATCTCATGTTGGCAGAAAAATGTGGGTGTGCCCATGGATTGGTACTGTGAAACTGTGCACAACTAACCTATCTCAGGCTGTAATCTTTACCTAATCTTTAGGGTCACCACTTTTGCTGTTAGGTGGAATTTAGCTATTCTACTCTGGTTTTCTGAAATGAAAACATGGAAAACATCACAGATTCTACAGATAAGTAAATAGACAGAAATTAAAACAGAATTAAAAAATGCGAAGTAGAGTGATCTTAATAAAAATTGAAGTATTTTGAACCATCATTGCTGGAGCTAGAAAGGAAATATTTTGTCCCTTCACTAGCCAAAGGTATTTTCTCTTTGGCAGCAGGTTCAAATTTCTGATCATATGGGGATGGTATGCAAATCTGGTTCTTTTTAATCAGTTATTGCTGATCACCTGAGTTCAATCTCTTTTGCTGTATCTGCCTGTGGATGTTGTTCTGTGTAGCACAGATGCACTTCAGYTGCATTTTGCATTTGGTGTATTTAACTAGGTGTCTTTAGGAACAATTGAAAATAATCTATTTAAAGATGTTCCTTCTGCAGCTTTCCTAAAATAGAAGCCATTTATCATTGCAGACAAATAGTTTTCTCAAAAATATTTTTGGTATTTGTGGGATATWTTGCATAAAATGTTGCAATGCATTTATCATTTTTATTGAGAAATTAATTGAGAATGAGGATGTGTTGAGAATAAGTAAGCCAGTAACTTTTCACATACATTGATCACTGCATGCAGAATTCAAGTGAGTTGTATTGAAATGGAATAAATATAGAATAACATTTAGAATATAAACAAGGTATGCATATAAATTTGGAAACTARTATCAGCAGCATGGGGATAGTTTTCCTGATGTTTTCTTCAAGAGCTGTGAATAGAAACCTAAGAAAAAGTAGGACTATAATCAGATAATCTGAATTCCATTTCTAGTCATGTCTGCGTTTCTTATTGTCTGGCCTACAAGCTCATGTATGTAACAATTGCACTCGAGTTCATTAGCACAGTTCTGGGATAGTCTGAGTCCAAACTACAGGTCCAATATCTGTGATATTTGCTGCCTGCAGCACGTTCCACACTGGTGGTGTATCCAGGGTGAATGGTGGGTCCAGCCCTGTTCAAAGTCTTTGTTGCTGGTGTGGGCAGTGAGACAGAGCTCACCCTCAGTGACTCACAGATGGTGCAGGGCTGGGAGGTAGGGATGATACACAGTATTAAAAATGCCTATTATTAAAACCCATAAAATACTTACTTTTGAAACAAGATCCTACTTTTAGATGTGCACCATTGTCCAGAATTGATTCTTTACTTAAATTCTGAGTGCATCTCCTACATCTGCTGCCATAACTATCAYCAAACTTGACCAAACTGTTTGGAAGCATTGCAAACTTTTCTCAATTAATATGGAACTACCCAATAAAAACTATTTGGAGCTGAGTAATTCCATATTTTGTCCTTCCTTCAGTGATAATACATCTTAGAAATTAATTAAAAGTGTCCTGCTGACCAGAGTAATTATCCTACTTTCCCTGTACTTGTTATGTCAAAGGTCTTTCAGTTTCTTAGCTCAACAAGGAAGAAAATGTTCTGGAATTGCCTGGAGATTATCTATGTGTAAGGAAAAACAGAAAGCTGCAAGACTTTGTGGGTTTTTATTGTACACAAAGTAACGAGATATGAAATTGTTTTGCTTCTGTAATTCTACCTTCACCCGCRAATTCTCATGGGTTAGTGAGTAGAAAGCAGAAAAAAAAATCATACACTCTAGTAGTGGAAAAAGTGCAATAAATAGTTGTTAAACCATCCCCCAAAGATACTATGATCTTCAAATCCACCCTTTATGTGATTTCTTATTGTCTTTTTGATTTTAACTGTCAGAGCAGGGAGTAGAAATCTATTTTTGTAGCACTACAATGAATGTAAGATTTTACACTTGTAAGTCTCCTTCCATTCCTTTTCACTAAGCATGAGAGTCAACTCCTCTCATCTAATCTCATTTTACAATTCAGAAGATACAAATCTAAGCTAAATTTGCTTTCTGGGCTCCCCTTATGGTCAGTGCAACAAGGTAAGACTAAGTAGCGTGTTTCATAGCAGATTATTTTGCTGCATAGGATGTGGTCTAATCTGAGATGTTTGAGACAGCTGAGGTGAGTAATTGTTGATGTCTGTCCCCTGGTCACCRTGATGGAAGCTCAGGAGATCACCTCAGACTAACAGTTTTTCATGACATATTTTGCTCTAAGACAGCAGCTGAGCCCATTGGAAGGTTTTCTTTGATACAATACTTACAGAGAAAGCTCCTGAAAGAAGSAGTCATGCCTTCTATTAATAATTTCATATTACATTTGACCTCTGCTGCTGTGGTTTTAAGAAAAGCAGTCCTTGGTACTTCTCATTTTTATTAGCTAAACTCTTTATCATACACACTGTTAAGAAAAGTAATTAAATTTACCTGAGGTCACTCTYATTTCATAATTCTCTGCAGTTAAAAGCCATAGAGAGAACATTTGAAATTAATTAATGTTAYGACCTCTTAAAGAAGATACATGACAATTCACTAGCAATGTTACTTCTACTGATGTAATATTTGTAATGTAAAACTAGTACTGTAAGTTTCTATGACATTTATGGTATTTTCAAGGATGAAAGCCTTCTTATTAAAMAAAGACTAAGATTTCCCTTCATAGTGCAAATTCTTACATTAATAATATTTAATATAGGAACTACAAGTTTTCTTATYATGCTGGTGGATTCTTTTCAAGCTTCTCATGAATTTACTCATTTCACCACCCCTCACCCCCAAGGGCTCCTTCTAATTGTCTGTCCTTTATATTGAATTTTGAATGAAACTTGGAAAAATCTCAGCCTGGCATCTTTAGGGACTACAGTTGAAATCATCAAKCTCCCTTTCATTGTCTCCAGTTGGTAACAAATGGCAATTTTATTTAGCAGTGGATGGTTCCCGTTGATGTGGGATTGAWGGATGAGGCCGTGAGAGGTCGGGCCAGCTGACAAGGTTACCCAGCCCAGCTGTCTGCCCATCCCTGCTGCAGGGTGCCTGTGCTGCCTGTCAGTCAGCTCTTGAGCCACTGCTGGTACTGTGGGCTGCTGGGAGGCACACTGGAGTCACTGACAGCTGACTTGAAAATGTTGTGCTCTAAATGGTGCTGGTTCCAAAACTCACTGATGAGCAACTCAGATATCTTTGTGGCAAAGGCAGACTGGACGTTTAGTGTCAGCTGTCTCAAACAAAGCCAGCTTTTCGACATTCGAGAGTCCTTCATTTTGACTTTGTTTTTCTGTGTGTTTGGTTTTGTTTCAGGTTGTGATCAGCCTGCTGTCTAAGAACCCCAGCTTTGAAATGTTTTTGAATGGGATTGTATAAGAACCCCAGTTGTGTTTTGAGATTTCACTATAAAAACCTTTATATTCTTTTAATTCTTGTCTGTAGGCTGGAGCAAATGTGCTTCTGCAAGATGTTAATGGAAATATTGCACTCGATTATGCTGTAGAAGGGACTGAATCCAGCAGYATCCTTCTGATGTACTTGGAGGAAAATGGTAAGTCAGCTCTTCAGCTTTTGGAATGTCTTCATTGAACATGTCATAAAAATGATAAGGATGTATATTGATTTGATGTAAGTCACACCACAGCCAATTGAACTATAATAGTTTGGGGATGAAGGGGAGGAAGGTGATTTGGAGCCATAAAGTTTTTAGTGGGTTAGATTGGAACAACTAACAAAGGTTAATGGCAGTTGTCATTGTCAAAACTGCTTTTCACCTTTTGTGGGGAGAGGTTAGAATGTAAATTCAAAGCAGAAAAACTGCAGCGATGCAGAAACCTTTAAAACACCTGCTTTAACTATTCAAGGACCAGATTTCAAATTTTGTTTCATTTCCCATGTACAGTCTCAGAGAATATTTTTTCAAGTGACAGACTGCTAATTAAATAAATCTTTGTAACACATTTCAATGAAAATGCATATGACACTTTATCCCTTATTTAAAAATAATAGTATTGGTTTCTTTTTTGTTTATTTTTTAATTTTGAAAATACTGCAGATAGGTTTCTTCTATGAATTATGCTTAGTATGTTATAGATGACAGGACCTGTATTGAAAAACTGGTTTTGTGACTCATCAGTTTCCAAACTTAGATCAGAGTTACAAACAGAGATTTCTAGCATTGCTTCTGATGAGAGGTTGTCTTAACATTGTATGTGGTTCATCTTAACACTGAGGAAAAGGCATTAAGCAAATACAATGAGCAGTAATGTAAAAATGTGTATTTTCAACATTGCCTCWATTTAAAGTATGTATTTTAACATAAACTAAGTTAAATAATATTCTGTTAATGAACACTTAAAGAAAGTGTCAAGGAAATAGCACTCAGTGTCAGGTCCTGTACTGCACACATCCACTGTATTGCATGTTTTATAATTTCGCTTTCTCAATGCCTGGCACTGTCTTCACAGCTCTGGTGTGGGATTTTGCTAATGGCAAAGAAGCTATTAGCTTCTAAATACTTTATTGATTTGAAAAACACAGATATTTTTAGCCTAATTTTCCAAATACTTTGATTGGTATTTAATATGGAACATGCAAAATTACTGTAGCATACAAGATGTAGTCTGCTTAATTGCAGTTGTTAATACAGATCTATCAGAAAATGTTTCCTCTTTTCTTGGTTTGTCTTCTTTTTTTTTTTTTTTATGCTTGGTCACCAAATGAAATAGATGTGGAAAAAAAAATTAAATATTGGTTAGTTTCTACAGTTATCTACAGTTATCTACAGTTATCTCTTTTACAGTAGGTAGGAGAGGGACTAGTCCTAATTGAACAGTGATTCCATAAATATGGGAAGTTACCAAATTATAAGACTTAAACATTTTGAAGGACATATCTACCTCTACTAACTTTAGATACCTAAGTTTAAGCTAATCATGCAGACCTTTTGGTCAACAGACCAAAAGAAGAAATGCATGCATTGTTTCATCTGTTCCYAACCTGCCTGAGTGAGGAGAACTGACTTCCAGGACTGTTTCTTTCTGCTGACTAAAAAGAATTTAAGTTGSCAGGTTTTAGGTTTAGACTGTTAGGATGGATCAATCCTACCCCTTAACTGCAGTGCTGCATGAAAACCTGGCCTTTGGGTGATCAGGGTCAAAATGCTCATCAGCTTTGCTTCGTCTGCTACAGTTGTAACAAGAAACAGCTCAAAGTATCTTTGGTTTGTATCTGATTTTTCTAATTTAATTAATRCCTACTGAAATATTTGTATAGCCTATTTGTATACCCTGACTAATAGTAACTGAGAGGGGATTCTTGAAGGAAATGAAGCTGTATGAAAAAATATTGATTACTTTGAATTTCCCAGACTAAATGTATCTCAGTAGATTGTTTTTGGTATTTTCCTCGTGGCAGTAAACCCCATGAACATCTGCATGTGAATACCCCAAAACAGAGCAATGTCAGGACTAAGTCTTGTTCCGCAAGATGAGTTGATCTTGTAGTAAATACCATCTTCAGCTTGTAGTGTTGAGAAACACCCACCTGTAATATCACTCTTTAAATTCAATGTATAAGGCCCTATTCTGTGAGCTTCCTAAAATATTTTTGTAATATTCTCCATTCAGTTRTGTAGCCTGGCTCACAATGTAAAGAAGAGATTTTTGTGTAGAGTAGACTATACTCTAGTCATTGTCTCTAATTGCAGAGCTCACAGAGAAAAATAAAATTAGGTGCCTTATGGCTCAGCTAATGAGAAAACCAGAAGCTATCTATTTGCTTCGATGAAACAAAGTAAGATTGGAACAAGTGGCTTTGAAGCCACAGAAAACTTTGTTAATTGGGAACATTAGATTTCTTAGAAGTCTAGTGTGTATATAATTTCTTACAGATTTCACTACTGTGGTAGTTCACTCTATCTGCTCAATTTCACTACAGATCTTAGTGATTGAACTGTTCTTCATTGTTTGAAATAACTTAATTTACTCTGTGGAAGGCTTGGAGCCATAAGTGATAACAATAGCCATGGATGCCTTTAATGATTTATATATTTTAAAACAGTTACTGAAGTTAGTTCTTTGAGTTCTGCATGTAAATGATCTTGTTAGGGCACAGGAATACCACAAATAAAAAATATTCTAATCATCTAACAAGTGCCAGAAAGTTTTCATTTATACTTTAATGTTATGGAATGTAATATATGAGGATGTTTTATGGAGATTTAATCACTGAAGTCTAATAAAATCATTAGTATTTCATTAAAATACTCTCTTTTTCTGTACAGAAATCAGCTTTCTCTCTTACATTATGTTATGTAAATAATGTTATATTGTGTACTGAAAGCGATTATTGACTGAAGAAAGCAATTAGCAGCCTTCAGTTTCCTAAGAGAACACAAGGTACATATCCTCTGTACAATAAGAGCATTGTTCTGTTGAGTAGCAATTATGGTGTGTAATAAACTTCATTTAAAATATCCGTAATTGAGGATGGAAGGGAAAATACAGCATCCAGTTTCATGTTTAGGAAAGTGTTTGAAATACCTTAACTAGATGATATTAGATCATGTTCACAAGGCACTGAGAAGCCTATTGGACTGAGYAGATCAAGGGCTTTACCTGGGTTGATTTTGTCTCAATTTACTGTCTGGTAGTCACTCTATAGCAAACCCTTCTTAGAGCAGAAGAGATGCTTCAAATGYAAGCATCTGTAATGAGGCACCTGAGTTATGATCTGAAGTTCTTGCTGCTTTCCCTATGCTGTGAARGGAGCCCAGAATGGCCCACTGAGACACAGAAATCTGCTATGTTGGATGATTATTATGATATTTAAATTTAAAAGTCTCTATGGAGGTGCCTATTCAGTAGTCTAAATTCCTGTCACCACCAGTGCAGTTSTAGGAAATGCTGTCTCTAGAGAGCAGAAGGGTTATCCCTTTGACCAGCCACAAGGAGAACACCAGTAAAAGCTGTTAAATTTGTCCCGTGCCAAGATGTCATTGGTTTTCTCTGTTACTGGTGCTCTTGTTTTGCTGTGAAAAGAAAGTCATGACATTTAGGGACTTCGACATCTGCTGAGACAAGATCAGCTGGGACAAGGCCAGGTGGGACTGGAGATTTACTTCTCTCTAGTTTCCCATTCCAGTGCTAAGCCATCTTTGTGTTCTTTATTGTCATTTTGTTTTCATTTGGAATTTCCTTACACCTGTAGTTTCACCTGCCACTTACACCTGTAGCTTCATATCTGTTCATTGTTTACTTTCAGGAGGTCTCTCTCTCCAGAGGTGAAATGAAAATAATAATGTCAAAAGGTGATTTTTTTTCACTATTTGTCCTGTTCTATTTTAAACCCGATTGATTATTGGAATCATCAGGAAGGTCCACCTGGCACCTTCCATAGCCTTTATTTTGATGAATAAAAGCTTTATATTTAAAGGAAAACCTTTTGATTCATTAATGGCATTTTGAAACTATGAAACATTAAATGACCGCCAGTGTGTTCTCTATTTCTAGAGTCAGAATGTTCTACTGTAGAAATGTGTCWGTGAAATTCTGATCATGTGATCCTTATGTTTCATCCTTTTCCATTAGGTTATTTTAAATATTTAATACATTGAGGAATGCAACATTTCTGTGTATTTTCTTTCCTGTATATAGTTTTGTAGTGGATTGCATGACTCAGCTATAAAAATACAAATGATTGACAGATAGTTCTTGCTTTTGTRTTTCCCAAGTCACAGGAGGTAACACATTCACGGTAATTCCATAAAAAGAGCTGTTCTCTTTTGTCCTCCAAGATATCAGGCTTTGGTTTTCAGTGGGGTTACTGCATTCCAGGAACATCAGCCTTGTTATTTAATCTGAGAAAAGAGTATTTGGACATTTACATATTTATTTTTCTTCCTTTTTTAAAGAACTATCTACATATCACACACATCTGAAAGCAAATTTAATAGCTTTCTTGTCTGTTGCGTAGTGAGAGTTTATGCAGTAGCAGATCATTACAAAAGCAAAAGAAAATMATCTGTTGTGTTTTAATTTTTTTTTGAAGAATGACTGTATTTAAATAACATATCTACCCGAAGGTACAGATGGTATTTCTTTTCCTACTGTGACACAGGTAGAGAAATAAAAATGGGTATTGCTTTACTGCAAAGTATTTTACGGAGTATTATTCACTTTCTGTGGGGGCAAAAATAATTTAAAATAGGAGGTTAAAGGTTGCTGACCTTTGAAGGTAATAGAGWTTTCATGCACTTCAGCAAAATCTATTCCATGCTATGGGAATAATGGATCTGTTTTGTTCCCTGAGTATTAAGAGGATCATATTCAGGTGTCTCAGAAAACTGTATATAGAGCCAAAATAATCTGAAAATTCTATCCATTTGTGTGGGTTTGTATGGTTTAAATCAAAGTTAAAATACTGCACAGTATTTAAAATCAAAGTTAAAATACTGTGCAGATTTTGCAAAAATAGACCATGGTTTGTTAAATTCTTACTAGCAAATGAATTGAGCCTTACTCTTCCGCTGCAAATCGAAGAAATATTTTT